AAGGCAACTCTTGAAGATCGTAATGTCGATTTTCGATCCTCTTGGTTTCGCTGCTAACATTCTTATTTATGCTAAAATCCTTATGCAAGATTTATGGAAGAAAAAAATGAGTTGGGACGAAAAGTTACCTGTAGATCTCCAAGCTAAATGGGAAAAATGGAGAAGAACAATCCTGAAAATTGAAAGTTTGCGAATACCAAGACAATTTTCGCAGATTTTTCATGAACAATCATCTGTCCATCTTCATATATTTTGCGATGCGAGTGAACGAGCCTACTGTGCAGTTGCCTACCTGAGGATAGAAAATGAAGGAAAAGTTGATATAGCTTTGATGATGGCTAAAACTAGAGTAGCCCCTCTTAAACCTCTATCCATACCAAGGTTAGAATTACAAGCAGCCGTGCTCGCAAGTAACATTTCAAAATTCATCGAAAACAATTCACGAATAGATTTCTACAGAAAATATTACTGGTCTGACTCAAAGACGGTCTTGTATTGGCTAAGAAGTGATGCAGGAAGATTCAAACAATATATTTCACATAGAGTCGCAGAAATACAGACTAATACAAATATAGAAAATTGGAGATGGATAAGCAGCAAGGAAAACATTGCTGATGAAGGTACGAAATGGTCAGTTGAGCCAAAAGTAGGCACTGAATCTAGATGGTTCCAAGGACCCCCATTTTTAAAGCTTCCTGAAGAAGAATGGCCAAAAGAAGAATCCTATATACCGGAAATCAATAAAATGGAAAAACAATTGGAAATTCGCAAGGAATGGGTAACACTCACTATAGAGAAAAACACAGGTCTCCCTGATGTATCAAGATTTTCTAATTGGACAAGATTGATACGAGCCACCGCATACATCCTGTTTTTTATCGAAAAATTACGTAAAAAGGGCAATTCTGAATATCTTTTACCAGAACATATAAAGAAAGCAGAGGTCTTATGGTATAAGGATATCCAAAGGAATAGCTTTCATGAAGAAATAAAGAATTTGGAACGTGGAAAATGTGTAGAAAAATCAAGTCGAATCTATCAGCTAACCCCTTTCATGGATAATTATGGAATAATAAGAATGCAGGGAAGGATTAGTTTAGCAGAGGTTGCTGATGAAGATATGAAAAATCCCATAGTTTTGGACTCAAGAACATCATTCACAAATCTTTTGGTGAAACATTTTCATGAAAACAATAACCATTTAGGACAAGATTACATAATAAACCAGATACGTCAGAAGTTTTGGATTTTAAATTTACGAGGAATAGTCAGGAAAATTGCAAAACAATGTATTGTATGCAAGAAGAACAAAACAAAACCAGAAATTCCCATCATGAGTGAGTTACCAAAGTGTAGGTTAGCAGCTTACGAACTACCATTCACCTACACTGGAATGGACTATTTTGGGCCCCTTGAAGTGACCATGGGAAGAAAGCGAGAAAAACGCTATGGTACACTCTTTACTTGTTTGACAACTAGAGCAGTACATATCGAGCTAGCAAATAGTTTGGACACTAATTCAGCTATTCTTGCGATAAGGCGAATGATTTCCAGGCGAGGCAAGCCAATGCACATTTATTCTGATAATGGTACTAACCTTAAAGCAGCCGAGAAAGAGTTGAAGCAAGCATTGAAGGAGTTGGATGATACAAAAATAGGCGAAGCACTAACTAATAGACATATCACATGGCATTTCATACCACCAGCTTCACCACACATGGGCGGCAGCTGGGAGCGATTGGTCAGATCTATAAAAACTTCTTTGCATGCAGTTTTAACAGAGAGAGCACCAAAAGAAGAAATATTGAAAACTTTATTAGTAGAAGCCGAAAATATCGTAAACTCGAGACCATTAACTCATGTATCTTTAGATCCTAAAGACATGGAGTGCTTGACACCAAACCATTTTTTAATAGGGACAAATAATCGGACAGAGTCGCCAGGAGTATTTGAAGAAAAACATGTGCCATTGCAAAGACAATGGAGAGTTGCTCAACAATTAACAAATATGTTTTGGAAGAGGTGGGTGCAAGAATATTTACCAGAGTTCACGAAAAGGACGAAATGGTATGATTCAAATGTTGAACTTAAATTGGGTGAACTAGTTCTGGTCGTCGATAATAACGCACCACGAAACACATGGCACATGGGCATCGTAACCAAATTATATCCCGGAAGAGACGGACAAACCAGGGTTGTTGATGTGAAAATCAACAACACTATCTACAAGAGGCCTGTAGCGAAGTTATGCAGACTGAAGATTGCTAATGACGAAGATCCTGTATGATTCAGTAATCATACGAGGGGGAGAATGTTGGATAGTTTACTTTACATCCTGTATATCAGTTTACCCTGTATACAGAATATGTTGTTAACGAGGAGTTGAATCAATAATTCAGTTGTTAATTTTCGATTAATATAATAATCGTTAAAAACATAGTCTTTATTTTAGACATTTTAAGCTACAGTTTTATAAGCCAACCTTTAAGCCAATATCAGTCATTACAAGTACTTTTAATGATTTCCTATATATTGTTGATATTTTTTAGGAATTATTTTCAGAACAAGATTCCCAAACATTTATTGAATACTTGAATCGACTTAGTATATGTGAATAGAGTACTATATTTGAAATTTTCATATTAAGTTTCGGACATCTCCTCAATGCACCAATAATAGGAGATTATTTTCTTTGTCAGAACCACAATATGTATGTCCCACTTCAATTGTTTATCAAACCAGATACCTAATCACTTTTTCAGTTCAGTTTATTCCAAGAATTCATTCATTATTTAAAGATTGAGCTAAATTTTCTGTTTTTTTTTTTTTTAAACTCATGTATTATGTATTCAGTTTTTCTATTATTTATTGATAAAAGGTTAGAGTGGAGCCATTTTTCAAATAATTTCAGATTGTTATTTATCACAGTTTCCAAAATTAGAGGATTTTTGTTTTCAAATGAAAACACTGTATCGTCTGCATATATGGTATAATAATTACTCGCTAAACCAACTTTCGTGATATATTTTGAATATAAAGCAGATATAGTATATTGGTCCTAAAACAGATCCTGTGATCAGTAATAGAAGTATTTCCCAAAGATAAAGTGAAATCTGAATCATCGTATATTCGTATTGGTCAAAATATGATACTAAAAGAGTCAGTTCGATTTATAGTATTACACCTCCACAAAATCAGTTTTTTTGAAAAGGAAAATTCATCACACGTGGTGATGCCTCGCTCACAACCTCACTCACTTCTCTAGAACACCGTAGAAAAGTTGGCGATCTGGCTCTATTTTATAAATATTTTCATGGACGTTGCTCTTCTGAAATATCAACAATTGTTCCTCCCTTGGCACTCCCCGCGAGATCAACCGTTACCTCCGATAACAGATTCGTGGTCACTTTGGAGACCTGCAGAACATCTCTTTCCAAAGACTAGTTCATCCAACGAACAGCGAGGCTCTGGAACACATTGCCAAGGGAGGTGTTCCCAAAGGCATCTAACCTCCAGAAATTTAAGAAGAACACCAATTCCTATATTTCCCTTGGTTCTCACGATGTTCTCTGAACATTACAGGATATCCCTTTTCGTGGGAACCAGAACATTAAAAAAAACGCTATAACTATATAGGGTGAGTCGGAAATGTGTATCCAGCTTTCTGGAGGTGGTAGTACTTTGAGAAATGAGTATAGTTTGATGAATGAACTAATGGCCCAAAATGTGTATTGAAGGAGATATATCTTTCCAAAGTTTATTAGAAATAGAGTTGAAGCCACCAAATTCTGTTCATGCTTGTCGGAATAGAGCAGTTCAACTAGCGTTGAGAGAGAGAGAAAAAAAAGTCTCCCCAGCCTTCCTCATCTGTCCTTGTCTTGAATGTTCCAATGTTATTAATTATTTATGTGAACCCAATAGTACAGGAAATAAAGTGAAAAATATGAAAAAAAAAATTGAACGACCCATAGGATACCATGAAGATATATTGAAAAACAAAAGATTATCGATAGATAAAGATCATCGACTTCCACTGAACAATGGAATATTTTTTCCTTTTGTTGATTGGAAGATGGAAGAAAAGTATTGAAAATTTTATTCTCAGATGATTCCAAATATCTCGAAAACAACTGGAAATATCTGAAAATGTTATAGAACCAAAATTATTTCTTTTGATAGAATCTACAAAAAATCCGTATAACATTTTTCTCTGAATTCAATAGTTCGGGAGATACGATGAAAAAATTTACAAGTTGCTAGATAATCACTTGCCAATAGAAAACGGAACAAAAAACAAAAGGAATTAAAAAAAGCACAGTCGACTGTCTTGATTTTTCGCCAATAAACTAGGTACCTAGCTCACTCGACTGTCTTAACTTTTCCCACAAACTACGTACCTAGCTCACTCGACTGTCTTGATTTCCCACAAAGAAGAAATATGTTGGCATTGTTTTAACTTTCTTTTGTTTTTGTTTTTTTAGTCCCTATTGGCAGTCGAGTGGGCTAGGTACGTAGTTTGTGTGGAAAAACCAAGACAGTCGAGTGGGCTATAAGTACGTAGTTTGTGGGAAAAATCTCTAGTTCTCTGACAGGTCATAGCGTCGTATACACATCTTTGGTGCCCAATGATAGTTTCAATATAAAAATATGCTCATGATATGGTGCCATGGCCTCTACTTCCATCTTACATGAGCAATGATAAAATATCATCTGTTTTTATAGCGTCGTATGAATTATCTGACCTCTATACTAATCTAATACCTAATGAAAACTACATCTTTACTAATCTGATACCTTTCAAAAACTACGTACCTCACTTGTTATATTTCAACCATGGGAACTCTGATGACTTGAGGGCAGATAGGGAAGACTTTTTTCTCTCCCCCAACGCTATCTGAACTGCTACATCAAATAATTCCGATATATTGAATCGGAATCACAGAACGTGATCGGACTAATCAAAAATAATTGCGGTGAAATGATTGAGATATTTTCTGAAGGGAGAATCAAAAAATCGAGAAGGAAGTGATAATACGCCTCATGGGTGCCGTTTCATTCGGCTATGGGCTATTCCAACTGGGGATATCTCTTCTGCCGCCCACGCTGATGAGGCTGATCAATATATTGGGATTCGCGGCTGATCGTCAAAACGGGCTGGCCTGTTTGATGTACGCCCGCCTGGGATCGGATATGAGAGCCCCTCTAGCAACGTAAGTGTATTTTTTCGCTTGTTCATTCGATAATTTATTTTATTCACTAGCGGGCGTAAAGTGGTACTTTACAGCCCGCGGGCCATAAAGTGCACTTTACCGCCCGTTGTTCTCAAGTCCCTTATATAGCCTCAGATCCACTCGTGGAAAACCTATATTTCTCTCAGATGATTCTATGATACATGTTATTGTCCATCCGATTCTATCATCGCTATAACTTCCTTCTTTGAATAGTTGCTTTCTGGCGGTCTGAAGTTTTTAGCCAAAAGATGATAATTTCAGCTTGTTTTTTGGATGTATTGCTAGACAGTAACCATCAGGTTGATCAACAACGTCAAATTCAGGTAGCTATATACTGGGTATACATATTGTTACCTCAAGGAATGAATCTCTGCACTGAACAAAGAGTTTTACTCTTACGATAATTGCGATATTCGTAAGGGTAATTTTAATATGTAGATTATGCACATAAACATTGCGCTTCTCTTGAAAACTGAATTCATGAGTAACATATGAATCTGTTGAAATCTAGTCATTACTTGTGACTCGAGTAATAAACCACTAGTGCATAAAATTTTGTATGGATCACGTGCGTAATCTGCGTTTATAGCCTTCGGTGTGTGATGACCCTCCGCTAACGCCATCGGGCCATTATTCAAGACGCAGGACATAAACGCCTACTTCAGGCCCTTGATACATAACTAACTATTATGAACGACCGGGCGTGAAGTGAAACTTTACCGCCCGGTTTTGCGGGCGTAAAGTAGCACTTTAGCGCTGTAGGACGATAAACGAGTACAGCGGGCGGTAAAGTAGGTAATCGAGCGGTAAAGTAATCTGACTGTTTACCACCATTCTTTCTCCACCATTGGCATTGGAGGTACACCAGAGGGTGAGTCTGAATTTGGGGAACCAAGGCTGATTATTTTTGTCTGTAAGGTGGCTCTACCTATCGCATATATGTATCTGAAAAACACCGAGAAAAATCAAGGGGTGTTTCCTTGTGACACAAAGTTCATATAAACATGTGTCATAACTTGCTCCGTTTTCGAGATACAGGATGTTCAAGTTGGAAGTATTAATTATTTCTATTTATAACCCCTCCTGTATAAACTTTCATGGAGCCAACATCCAGTATGGACGGAGACTGAGAAAGCCCCAAAATTTCAAAATGATTCTAATTGGGGTAATCTCAATGGAAGTCTTGAAAACACCTATATATATGAAAATTTGGAGTCAAATCGAATTTTTATTGTTTCATCAAACAGATAAAAAAATCACACATAGGATGAAAAAGTTGGTTATTTCAATAGTTCAATCTAATAAAAATATGAAACCGTGGTGGTGTACAATGACATTCACCATGAATTTTGAACCTAATTGTACTAGAAGAAGCTCCTTATCACTATTAACAAAACCACAAAGTTTTATCGAACTTGATGAAAAGACCAGGAATTGATGGAATCAAATCAGAAACACTGTAAGAAATCAAAAATGAAATTGCAAATCCGATGACACATCTAATAAACAAGGTATTAATAGAGGGTCATTTTCCATCACTTTTCAAAGAAGGCATTGTCAAACCCGTATTCAAAAAAGGTTGTAAAAAGACCCAGGTAACTATCGCCCAATTTCGCTAATAAGTAATTTAGCAAAAATATTGGAAACAGTTATAAAAATAAGAATGATGAAATATATAGAAAAATATAATTTGATTTCTATTCGACAATTTGGGTTTCGAGATGGAAAATCTACAGAAGATGCAATCGACTTACTTACAAATTGGACATAATTATTCCAAACATTCAAAACTCCCTTCGTTACTCACTTTGGTTCAAGGTGTCAAGTAGATGGGATTTTTCTTTGGTGCCCTATCTTATTTGTCCCTATTACGAGTATATATCGAAATAATACTAATATTCGCAATTTTATTGAGGATAGAAATTCCCAAAAGTTCTGAAAAATTATTGAACCCTGCTGTTATTCCGAAATGTCTACTCAAATCCGTTGCATCACCACCAACAACTATGTAAACAAAGACAATCACTGAATAATAATTCAATTTCTTTCTAGTTTATCTCTTTTGTGGTTCCATACAATTGTAAGGCCATTTTATGCCATAGACGGTACCAACGTCCAAGCTGGAGCAGACGTTTCAACATCCCTTCTCAATGAATCTGAAGAAGAATTTGGCCAGTCGTCGCTCTTCCTCTTTTTCAGGGGTCGAGTTTGCAGACTAAACGTGAGTTTCAACACCAAAACAACTGTACTTGAGGAGCAATAGCACCACAAATTTTTATGTAACTTTCAATCATTCTCATGACCTTCAAAATGTCGAAAAGCGTCGACAAAACTTGATTAAACGTCATGAAAGCGTCACACTTGCGTCGTAACGTGAACAATGTGTTGATGAATGCGTTACGCATAATGTGATGTTTTCGTGATGTTTTCATAACGTTTTCGTGACGTTTTAGTGACGTTTTCGTGACGTTTTCATGACGTTTTCGTGACGTTTCCGTGACGTTTGCGAGCTCGTATATTCAGCATGGGGAAGAAACACATTTGGTTTCAGTCTGACACAGAAGGAGCCCTGAAGAACTTCCAGAGCTCAGTGGAGAACTCCAGCCAAAGGGAGCTGAAAGTTTTGTGCATGCACGAGATAGGATGGTGTCATCTGATCGAACTAGACTATTGTTCTGCTCAGAACACTTTCCTCTATTTGAAATCGTCCAGCAGATGGTCCAAAGCGTTCTATTGTTATCTGGCTGGGATTTGTGCAGGTAATCGCTACCTATTGCAGGATATTTTGTTGTGGCAAGATTGTGAATTCACAACAGCGCATGGTTCAGATCAGTCAAAGCAAAAACCAAAATTTCAGGGTTGCATGTATACAGAGTGTCCAGAAAGGTCATGTCGTGAATGATAGGGCTGATAGAGTGGGGCAAAAAAATTTTAGTGAAGTTTATGCAAAGTCAGTTGGAAAGACACATCACTGCAAGCCGTCGGTCCCTTTGAAAGTTCAAATAGTGCGGCAGTGCGGCCCGACATTCGTTTGATGATTTGTTCAACTGATTTTGCATAAACTATACTTCATACTAAAAAAATATATATCGGGCTTCGCGATTCGTTGCGGAGTTATTGACCTTGACAGTAAGAATGAAACTAATGAATTTTATGTATATCTTTCAAGAGGTTGCCATGTTGTCAATGATATTTGGGCAGGTGAATGCTCCTTCCCATACGTAAACGGCCTTTCAGTGAATATGTTTTAAACAGGATGGTACGAAATTTTTCCGTTTGCATTTTTACACAGGTGACAAATTTCACTTCTTGCTTCCACCGTTTGATTCTTTCATCTTTCATCTACAAAAATTCAGTGAAGACAAAAAGATTATCAAAAATGGTTTTCAACATGTTCATCTCGAACTCCAACGCGTTTTCTGAAGTTGTCTGAACATATGTTTTGTACTCGAGATAACATGTGATGATAATCATTCCTTACGGCGTGTGCAGATGTAGGAATTTGATTCAAAAGCTCATCCCTAATATTTACAGGTGTTTCATAGACTGAACATTTGAGATAGCCTCAAAGAAATAAATCAAGTAGGTTGAGATCAGGTGATCGAGGTGGCCATGGAAAAGGATCATAAGGAAATGTGATGTTCAGCTACATATCAGCTGGAATACTCAGAAGAACCTCTTTTAACAACGGATCTGGATGTTCTTGCAAAAAAGATTAATATTTTATTCTTATTTGAACTTCCATTAATGATATAAGATCCATAATTGAGCAGTTGCCAATTAGTCCTATCCATACATTGATAATAATGATAATAATATAACTTCATTCAAAAACGTTTACAAAATATACATTGGGATAAACAGATAGGTATTTTGAATAAACTGGGAAAAACCTTACGATAGTACTGATCATTTAAGAAATGATCTTTCTGAACACCTTATATTCAGATGTTCTATTCAAAATAGGGACTATTCTTGATGATGTCGAATACAATGCGGTACTATGGTAGGAAATAATTTTGTTATAAGTTTGTCAACTATCAGATATCGAATGAATCATGAAATCTGGCCAGACTTTGGAAATGTGATTGGGATTGGCTCAAGAGTCTCTTGATTTAGATAGCTTGATGCTTTTTTTCAGGAGAATATTATCTAGGAAATATCTGAAATCATCCTCCATATTCTAGGTAGCTGCGACAATTTTCTGCAATTCTGTCTCATCGAAGATATGGCTACTTTATTGAAGAGTCTACCAAAAGGAACACAATTAGAGGAGTTTCTAATGAAGAGAAACAACTGTTTGATAGACTTGGAAACAGCAAAAACAAAGGCGACTGTTTTCTGGAAACTTTTGGTTTTTGAGATGTTGTACCTGTGGAACGCCTTACCTAGCTGTCGTATGTCTGTGATTGATGGAATAATAAGAGGTAACTTTAGAGAAAGAGAATAAACATATCACCTAGCAAATTATCTGAAACTCATTCATTACTTTGTATATAACTTCTATGTAACCATATCATAGCGTTGTTATTGAGAATCATTCTTTTCATTCATCAAATACGTTCATTTCGAAATTGTTTCTTCATATTTATTACTATATTGAACGTATACTGAAGGCATAATAAACGTTGAATGAATGTCAAATAAACGTGGTATAAAGTTAGAAGAACTTCGATTAAACGTCGATTGAATGTTGAAGAAACGTTGAATGAACGTTAGATTGACGTACATGTTTCGATCATTGCGTAGCTGATTTGTTTTAGATTGTTCGGAAGTTTCTGACCCAAGTCAAGAGCCTATGAGAGGTCTTTCATCGCTGATTTTGGGATGCAGCTACTGTGTCCAGAACCAAAACGATAAAGCAGTGGAAAGTTTCAGGATATGTTTGGACGTGAGGAAAAATCTTGCTCCGAATTGCAGTGATGCTCATATCTCCGCCTTCTGTCAATATGAACTTGCGTCACTTTTGGTGAAAAATGAAGAGGTGGGTGATTATTCATAGCTAATCCAGATGGAATATAGTATAATGTTTATCTTATTTTTTCAGACAAGGGAGGAAGGGAAGCTACTTCTGCAGAAGATGAATCAATATACGAAATATGATTTCGATCAAAAACTCAATGTCAGAGTTCATTCTTTATTGAGGCAATATTGAGGTGTAGAATTGACAGACAATAATACTCATAATGAAATGTTCATAAATAAATATCGTATATTATTACTGATTTTAGTTGTTTTATTATACAGGGACTATACCAACGAAAGCTCTCAAACCTCTTGAAATAAGAAACCGATTTGTTGTTGAAGTTTGCATTCCTAATTTCATGGGGGAGGGTCAATCATCTTTTGGAACGCACGAAAGGAAGTCCCTATTTTGTTCATGGAGCATCTTGTGTACAGGGTGATTCACCATAAATGTCCTCCACCTCTAGCTCAATTATTTTGGAACCGATTTCAAAATTTGAAATATCATCTCAAATGATTTTCGATTTAGTTCTTTTCTGCTACACCGGAAAATACAGGGTGCTCGGAACAAACGATCTACAGGGTACTATCTGATTTATTTGAATAGAACACCCCATTTTTCATTGTATTCTTAGATTCTCCCTGAAGAGCTGATTTGATCGATGTATCACACTTGGGGTCTAGCGGGAAAGATTACAGGGTGTTCGAAATAGAGATTTTTCAAGTTTGGGTTTTTTCTGTGACGAAACTATTCATTATCGGTCGAAACGGCTTTCTCTTACCTATATTAACTTTCGATTTACTATCTACTGACATTTAATAATCGGAACACATACAGGATAATCAGAATTCTGAATCTTGAAATACCCTGTAAATGTTCCAATTGAATGTCAGTAGATAGTGAATCAAAAGTTGAGATATGGACATAGAAGCCGTTTTGACTAATAATGAATAGTTTCGCCACAAAAAAAAGTCTAAAGTTGAAAAATCTCGATTTTAAACACCTAGTGTGATACATCGATGAAATCAGCTCTTCAGGAAGAATCTAAAAATACAATGAAATACGAGGTGTTCCATATGAAAAAATCAAGTAGTACTCCGTTGATCGTTTGTTTCGAGCATCCTGTATTTTCTGATGAAACGGGTAAAAAATTCTGAAAAATAATTTTAGATTATTTTCAAAATTTTCAAATCGGTTCAAAAATATGAGATCTAGAGGGGGGACATTTATGGTGAATCACCCTGTACATAGAGCAAATGGAGTCACGTAGAGGTTTTGTAGGTAGAATCTGATGATGAAACTGTACTTGAGTAAATATGAATAATTGAGAAGAAAGCAGTATTGCCATCGTCAAATTCTAGTCGAAATATTGTCAGCAAATCATTTGAAATTATTCTAGAACCCGTATATGGAAGAATGATTCAGTGATGAAACCTAATAAATAAATATTGAATAATAGATATATTCAACCATTCTGGCAAAGCAGGAAACCACAGTTTTCATCCTTTAAAATTCCGTTACAAAAAAATAATGATACTGAAAAATGTTTTCTTTCCAATAATTGTCTCAAGTACCTACATAATTATCTTCAGCAAACGGTTATTATCACTGAATTACCTGGATTTCGTTTCGTTGCCAGTATTTTTTCCATGAATGATTAATGTGTGTGAAGGTAAAGAGGTTTTATAAGTTCCAACGATTAAGTTAGTTCACCTGGAATCACAACAGAAATGCTACTGAGAATACTGTTATTCATCATTATCTTCAAAGTATCTTCAGGAGAAGAAAACCATACTGAAATAATAAAATTGTTGAATGCATTCATTAGCAAAGAAAATTTGCCAACGAAAATAACAGCATTCACATGTTGGCCGAAAAGTTAGACTTAAAATTTTTATATTTCGCAAATAATAATATGAAAACATATTTTGTAGATGTTCAGATACAGTTTCTCAAACAGCTCTATTATAATGGTTTCCTCTCTAGACTTGGTAAGGCTGAAAATGATCTAGACTCTATGTTTGCAACAGAACACCATCTTATAATGATGGATCTACATTGTGAAAATTCGGTGAAAATATTGAATCAGGTTTGTCAACAAAACAATTTTGAATCAGACATATGAAATTATCTACCTTTCAGATGAAACAATCGAATATCGTACCACCACGCTTAATTTTCTGGGGAAACTATAATGCATCTACAATGCTGGAACTTCTAGAAGATTTATATTTCAGAATCGACAGTCGAGTTTATCTTATAGTCAAGCTTAACTCAATATACCATATAAAATCTCTCTATAAACTTGAAGAAAGTTCAGACGATTTCAAAGTGAATGACATTGGAGAGTGGAGTTTCAATCGAGGTTTCACAATCTTCAATGCATTGTGTGGGCCAAAAAATAGAACAGATTTCTTGGGAAAAAATGTGAAGCTTTCTTACGTGGTAACTAATAATGACACCTTGAATCATTTGGAGGACTACAGGTAAAAAATGTGCAACAATTTACTATATTATTACATTCCTGCGAAGATCCTATGAAAGGGCAGAATGCAAATTATTGTTGCAAGATTATTATGAAGATAAGCCTGTTCTAGTGAAAAATATCGACAAATTGATAGTAACCCAGCGAGCACAAACATCCCTGGGATGTTTTGGGATGTTTTGAAAATGTTAACATGAAGATATTATTTTGAGACGTAATATGCACTGACCAATGAGGTTTTTGAAGGATATTGAAGTATTGTTTTTGTTCTTCTGTGGCATTTCTTTGTTTGCCTACTGAGAGGTATCCCTGGGATGTTTTGGGATGTTTTAGAAATGTAGGCATGAGGATGTTTTTTTGTGGCGTAATATGCACTTCTCAAAGAGGTCTTAGAAGGATATTGAAAGGATTGTTTTTGTTCTTTTGTGCCCTTTCTTTGTTTGCCCCACCACAACGTCTCATGCTTACGTCACAATACGATGAATTCTGATTTGTTTTCGATTTTGTTCTTCTTGTTCGCAATTGGCATTCGCGTTTGCAGCGTGTCACGCTTACATCACGCTGCTAACGAACAGAAAGGAATTTGGTGAAGTTTATTGTGTTAGAAGACTTATTTAGTTTGTGATAATGACCATCAGATGCAAAATGTGTTGTTCGGTGCCTCAGTGTAATCAATATATAAAAGTACGAATTCATCAATACACAGCTTCTCCGCAGTTGCAAAATTATGCAATGCAATTATTCAAAAATTGGGAACCTATTTCCAATTATATGCCTGTGTGTAGTAAGCACTACTCATAAACCGATTAAGAAGGTAATTTTATATCGAGAAAATATTTTTATGTTCAATCTATTTTTAATGCAGTTTTTCATTCAAGGGAAATGGAATCTTAATGAAAAAGTTTATTTTGACACATGGCTTCAGAAGAGTACCTCGAAAATGTTTTTTTACAGCGATTTAATGTGCGCAAGACGCGTTGAAAATGTTCTGTTGAGTCCATGAAAAGGCTTCAAAAAGAACTAGGGAGAAGGTAGTTTTGTGACATATCAAGGACATCTCGATAATTGCCGCCTGCGGCGGACATTGGCTGTTCTGTAATAGTTCTATTCATGTGTGAACAGAACATCGCAGTGGAGGTTCAATGTCTCGAAATCTCGTACTTTTAACATATCTGAGATGTTTTTGTGCTCGCTGGGAACTGATCCACTTATTCTGGTTTTATTAGCAACATTGCATTCACCTTAACTGTTTATTATCAACACATTAACTATCTGAATTCAATATCAGTACAAGATTATACATTATACATGGAACGCTGGAGGAATTTTAAATTGCAATGTAACATTAACTCCACAACTTCATTGAGTTCGTAAAATTGCTACTATTCAACATTCATAACATTGAATGTGTAATTTTCCTGGAAATTAATCTTGTAATAATCGTGCAAATATAATTTTTTTCGCGTTTTGGAAATTCTGCGCCTTAGTTCAATCATTATCTTGCTCTATAAAACTCTATATTTCTCAGGAAAATACATATCGATCCCCTCTCAAAACTTAATTGGATTATGGTTCATCATCTGATGTCTATAGTGAACGCAACTCCCACATCAGTATTCAGGTCTACATGGGGTTACAGAAATGCTTCTACGAACTTATTTTCTGGAATGATCGGAGACCTACAAACAGGAGAGGCAGAGCTAGGAGGTATTTAATCAATGGATAGATCTAGATATTATGACTAGATGGTATGTCTAGTTTTCATGAGTGAATTCTTTCCTTGTCATCAAAAGCATTACTCTGGTCGATATGATCCATATGCTGCGAACAACACTGAAATCAACCACTATATTAATATTCGCGATAGAAAATAACACGTATTCGTTATATTTCTTCACCGGATTGAATTTTTGGCCAAATGACCACTGCTTCTTAACATTGCAATTTTATTAATTATTTGTTCTCCACGTGGCCTTTTAAGTATGTTTTTTCCCTCAATATCTTATATTATCCTTGTGAACCAATGTCTTTACAGTTACTGTATACTGTGTCTGAAGATAGCTGTTTTAACTGAAACCAGTCACAAAAAAGTGAAGAAAAAAATAATTTGTAATTAAACTTTGTGGTCGACCGACTTATAGTGTTTTGTTTTTCCTTCGAAATAATCTGAATTACTTTGAGAAGGATGGATGGTTTCCATGACTTATAGCAAAATCTATTCGTGAAACTCTTGTTCTATTGAAAAAAGGTGATATTTCACTTGTCGACAATTACCGCCCAATTTCTATCATATCTATATTTGGTAAAATAGTTGAAAAAATTCTTAAACAACGCCTCACCGCTTACTTTGAAAAATATAATTTTTTTAATGATTCGCAATTTGGTTTTCGAAAGAACCGCTCTACGATCCAAGCTGTTTTGAAAGTCGTGAGCGATGTGGTCGAAGGCATTGAGTTAGGGCATCACACAGCAATTACACTCTGTGACCTATCCAAGGCCTTCGACTGCGTCTCGCATGACATTTTACTGGAGAAACTATTTTATTATGGCATTAGAGGAGTGTCTTTGTCTCTTATGAGATCATATTTAGAAAACCGATATCAAGCTGTAACCAGCAATAATTCTACATCCAGTTTCAGACTTGTTAGGCATGGTGTTCCTCAAGGATCCGTCTTGGGGCCCCTCTTGTTTATCATTTATGTGAATGATATCAGTCGTTTTATGAACCCACACAAATCTGTTTTGTTTGCCGACGATACTACTTTCATAT